TGTTTGTTTTGTTGTTATCTTTGTTTTGGGTTTTTGTTTTTTGCTTTTTTGTTTTTTGTTTGTGTGTGTGTGTGAGTTTGTTTCTGCATTCAATTGGGGACCCTGAACAATAAAGGACAATAAGGTCCCCGATTGACAGACGGTCCCCGATTGACAACTGTGTACAAAACATATGGGTTGTCTTCTAAAAAAGTTAAAGTACAAACAAAAGAGGAACAATAGGGGGTCCCCAGTTGCAGGCAAATACACACTTGGATGTGTGTGTTTGTGTTGTTTTGGGGTTGGGATTCATAAGTGTTGGTGCTTGTGTTAGTTTCGGTGTTAGTGCTGGTATTAGTGTCGGCATTGTTTGGTTTTGCTTTGTTTTGTTTGTTTGGTCTTTGGTTAGAATATTTTTGTAATTATTGGGCGGGGGTATTTTTTGTTTTGTTTGGAATTCATTTTCTTTATAATTGTAACAAGTACAGTTTTCTGGCTTTCCATGACGTTTACTGCGGTACAAAAGACTGGCAAATGATTTGCGGAAAAGTACAGTTGATCTTGCCTAGCACTGCTTTCACCGTCCGCCCTAGCAAACATCAGTGTAACCTTGACTATAACCGGGGAAGGAACAAAACCATCAGCTCATCAATCATGCCAAAGCAGTTGAAACTCAATGTCATACTCAACGAATGGCTTTGAAGGACAACTGCACTAGCTATAACAGTTTTGCACCATATTTGAAGACGAGAGCGTAGTATTGTCGTGTGCAGTACACGGATATGCGTTTGCAGCCATAACAACAGAAGAGGAAAAAATTATGCCAGTCACGGCCATGTTGAAAGTGATGACTGGGGCCACAGCAATGTCCGTAAATTGCCATCTATGCGCTTCATACTGGCATTCGTTCAGAAGGAAGTTTTGAAGGCCGTTTATTCATACACACAAAACAACCAGCCGAGTAAATTAAATTGATGTTCATATAAAAGGACGTTTAATTTTCTTTAAGGGCGATTTTTGAGTCCCTTTACCTTGTTTCTGTCACAAATTAATAAACGATTATTGTGCGCTGGGGAGAAGACTACACAAGAGGACATGGCTAATGACTTATTCGTTGTTGACTACTTCAAGTACCACTTGAGGTACGTCTACATTTGCATCTATTATCCGCTGAATGGGGAGTTCACCACTGCCGTAATCGAGTTCATAGTAGCCGACATCAAACAGTCGTCAACCAATCTACAAGCTGCCGCCTTGTCAAACCGGCCGTTTAATTATTTGTGACTGAAGGTTCTGCTTTGACACTGTCCTCGACACACCTGTCCATTCTTAAAACTGAAAAGTATTTCCCGAATAGTTTTTTTTATAACTGGGAAGGGATAACCCCTTAAGATGTCATCAAGCAACTTGGGTTTCAAAGTTTTGGTCAGCTTTAATAAACCAGTGAAGCCAGATAGTCAAACGGAATAATTTGATGAAGGGTGTCGCTATTTAGAGATCTTGAATATATCAGTGTTGCTATACCGTTGTATGCTGTTGGAATTCGGGGTTTCGAAAACTTGACGCACTGAAGTACGTCTAATGTCTTACACGAAGGTATATACCATCAAAGCCTCTGCCTCAAATAGCGAACTTAAAATGCAGCTTTTGTACGTTTTCTCTTTGACCGATAATGAGCAAGCACTAGCTCGTTGCAGACACAATCACGTTAACATAATGAATCTACATACACACTGACAACGTTGTGAATCCAAGCAGCTTTGTCATACTGTAGAATGCACCTGCGACACCATCAGTATTTTTTTTGTGAATATGAGAACTCACATTAGCAATAGGGGCCTAATTGTCATCACACTGCACGAAAACGGCAATACGACAGATTATGGACAGTGCTTTTTGAAAGTCATTGCACGTGGGGTGTACCGGTACATTAAGGTTTAAATCTTTTTTATCGTCCCTGATCCAATTCGCCAGGCCTTAACATCTCTTGCCATTCACCGGGCAGCGTTGTGAGAAGGGTGTTCGATGTTCACAAGGTGTATAATTACTTTCCGTGACCGCCCGGGCTTCGGTGCAAATTGCGAATTCTCTTCGACTGAGCCATTCCCATCTGCGGTCTTGCCCCCAACGTAAAATCACGTTCTCTCGCTTTACTCAAAGATTCATCACATGCAGATCTCTTTCAGTTTCCCCCCCGTGCCAGGGCCCAGAAATACTGCATCTGCGAGTGATCTATCTCCCCAAAATGTCGTGTAATCCAATACAGGGGGTCCGATATAGATCGTCATCATGTTGGCTGACGGGGGAAGTCTGAGAACATTGATGAATAGTCACGTCTACACGGAACAAGAGGCCGCCGGCCCCCTATATGGATGGGAAAGACTTGCTCCAGATATTAATATCCACAGAAGAATTGAATATGGATCTCTACGATCAGCCCCGGAACAGCTAACGGCAATTTGAGAATGATTAAGTTTTCTTCTGCTCATATATAAAACTGCAACGCACTCGCACACGATGAAATTTGCAGGCAAGTTGTCATCTGAATGATCCAAGCTTTTCAGAAAAGGTTGGAAAAAATAAAAAATACCAAAAACTGCTTCAAACTCCATGCACTGACTACTCGGAAATACACAGATATTAAAACAGTTACAGGGCCTAATGTTTTGATCCCAGTAGAGACCTAGGGTGCTATTTATAATTAGGCCTACGTATGGACTACTTGAATTTAAACAACAGGTACAACAGAAAAAGGACTGGTAACTAGACCAAAAGGCTCATTGCGGTTTCATTTATAAGGGACGAGAGAATTCATTACCACGTGGATGGTTTCAACGTTTTTGTTACACTTAATCTATGTTTTGTGGACGAAGTAATTTTACGGGGTGCTAACTTAACCCATGCATGAAACTTTTATTTGTAAATGGTCCCAGGTTTTCGGATAATTTTCAGATCGTAAAGTGCAATATGGCAGCACGAATACACGCTTCCGTTAATACCATAGAAAATCCAACCATTGCTTTAACCGTCCAAATCGAATCAAGGTTGGTCTTCCGAAACTGAAGTTTATCGTGTCCAAATGTTGACGTTCGATTGTTGCAAGTATCGCCGTTCCTCGCTCGGAACATGGTCGTACCTCCGGCAACATCTGGCAAAAAGGATCTTGCAACATTGGGCGAGTAATTCCTCCTAGCTAATCCAAACTGCGCAACGTGATCCCGGCGGCCATAGGCATATTAAATGTTGTCTCAGCACGCGTGTGACCAAACAACAGCTGTCCTGTGGTTGAGAGTGGCTTCCCTTCTTGTTTGTTGAATTTATCCACACAATCGAATTTTTCAAGTAGGCCAGAATTATTGTTCATAATCACAGGTTATCAACTGAAGTGGGGAAGTCCAAATCGAAATCGATTGGACCTTGAACGGAAAAACCTACGCAAATATTTCTCAATGTCAGTCATGCCTGAAGGTTATTTCGTATAGGCCTATTCAGGGCCACAGATGGCGCTGTTTAACCAGAATACACACGACATAAATGTGATTTTCACACTTGAAGTAAGGCTGCATCTGATTTTGTGGCTTCTGGTGGTTGTTGCGCACACGTCTATGAGGACTGACAGCAGACCCTCGAACACGGCATTTCATTCAAACCACTACGAAATAGAGGGCGTCGCTGCTGTTTGACGGGTCGCGAGCTCGCTCAATGCTTTACATCATGGTTACACAAGCGGCAGTTATTTATCCCTTTTTCTTCCTCATTACTGAAAATATACTCACTACACTTTATTCGTACGTCCAGAATTGACCAAGATAACCGATGATTTGAAATATACCGCCAAAAGACACGTGATCAGTGACACTTGGTGAGAAGAGAAATTACCTTATTGTGATTGTACCAAGGCTATGTTTTTATTATTATAGCTGACATTTTTCCAGTGCTAAAGCATTTTCATTGGCGGCCCAAAATATTTAAATAACGCTTCACAAGTCATGCACAGTGTAGCCAATCACAATGCACAGCATCAGCCCTTCCCAGTGCTCTGTTTGAGCGAAATCCAAGTTGCACAGTAATACCAGGTATCCATGAGGGCGCACTGCTCACTATCATGGGACGAGGGTGGCATTAAATCCATCCGTCTTGTAAAGCTTCTTCTGGTTAAAAACGACAAATTCAATAATCATGCCCAATCCACCAACTTTACTACACTGAAAGCGGTAAAAAACAAACAGGAAACCATACAAGTTTCCGTCAAGGGGATTAAACATGATAACGTATGGATCATTAACAGGCAGTGACAATTAAAATCAACGCGGGCAAGATACATATCCATACTGGTTACCGTGAAAAGCATCGGAAGCTATGTAGCGTCCTAGACGTGACACACAGAAAAAGAGGTTGAATTTACCGCCACTCCAATAATATTAATACCCAGCTCGGTATTGCAAAAAAGTAAGGTCATTCGGGAGTAAAGCATCTCCACAAGACCACGTACAGAGCCACACTGATAAGGCGGATCTTGCACACACGCCTTAATGACCTCGGACGCGCTTCACAGTTGACAGGAGTTGCAGTGTTACGACCAGAGTGTCTAGAAGTCATCACAAGTCCACCGCAAGCCAATCACGACTCGCCAGCCACGACACAAGCTGTAAATGGCGACAGCGATCCTTCACTCAATACAATGCGACCTGACTGATGTGAATATGGAACACTTTGTACAATCTGTGCCACACCTACTAAGATGCCCATTTCTTGGTGCCTGGAAGATCAATAGGTGGCAAACGAGAAGGCTGTTCGCCGTGCAAGAGCCTGGCTAAACATTTGAAACATAGATGAAAGAAGGGGAACCCGTCTGACGATTTAATTTATGATTGACGATTTAACTTATGATTGACCATAGAGTGTAATAGTGGTCAGAAACAGTCTCTTTCTCAAAGTACTGTCCAGAATCCACTGCAAAAGCAAGGACGTCGGACTAGCCAGTTCTACAAAAGTAAAAGCGAATTGGAAATACAGCTTACCGTCTTCTCTGTTGTCACGTCCCCTTTTCTTGCGCACAGCATCATTTTCAGCCTTGGCCTTCGACCCGTTACCACCTTCAACACTGGGCTGGTCGCGACTGGTGTAGTAATCGCGACTCGAGCTGAAGGATCGCTGCTTGCTGAGGACGTTTCTCTTTTTCGGGCTCTTCTGGAGCGGCATGGTAGCAGAGCTCGCTGGGTCTGAGCTTGCGCTGTCTCCTCGCCCTCCTCCTGGTTCGGCGGCTGCTGCCTTCGTGGTTAGTAGAGTGCTGCGCGCGTTTCCGAGATTCACGTACTGCACGGAGTTTTTGCCCCGGGTACCGCAAAGTCCAGCACCCATGAGTGTTCGCGCTCAAAAACGACAGGAGGATCCAGCATGCAGTTGTGATTGTTTTACAATCCGAATATCATATATCTCTTTATGAAGGTTATACGTTACAATTCGACTTTTCTGATACGAGGTCTTGATGATACTGGAATTATGACCAACGCAACAATTGTAATTCCTATCACGGGATTTCAAAGCTTTCCACCACCACATTGAAGATTTGTTCGTGCATAGAAACAAGCGTAGGCTACATGAAAAAGAAGTCTTCTGGCCGTATGTAGCTAGTTTCCCGTCGAAAATTCCATCGAAACGCTTAGACCACAACCAAGGAGATGTAAGAAGCACTTATAACGACACTTCTTGATGCTATAATACTCCGTCAGTGGTCTGCACCTTTGTTTAACCCAGCTGCCTGTGAACGAAATTAGAGATATAAAAGTACAATTTCAGTGAAAGAGGTTTGCGATAGCACCATGCAAGCATAACTCTTTGGTGAGTATATGTGTTCTGAAAAGCACTGAAGGTAAAAATAACAATAATGATAACAAGCACTTGTAAAGCACCATCTATCTAGCAAAGCATTCCGTGGCGCTGCATTATCAACGGTAATGAACGTTTTGGAGAGTATGCTCTGTCTGTGGTCAGGAGGCTGCAGAGGTTGCAAGGATGAAGTAGCTTATATTGTAGGTATGGAGGGGCTGCTAACTGGGAATCCAACCATGGGAACTCAAGCAGAACATGGGATGCTAGCAGGTTGGCGAAGTGTGTCAGTCTGCAGGAGGGGAGTGTGGGAGAAGATTGCCAAAGGTATAGGAGACACAGAGGTCTGGGAACATGTCCCAGGGTACATAGCAGACCCACTGGACTGGGATGTGAGGATGGGGCGCCAGATGTGTCTCTGATATTCCTCACATCCCAGTTGGATCCCGAGTGAGCATCCTCTCCACACCTCACAGCCTCCAGACACCATATAAGCTGCTTCATCATTCAAATCTCTGCAGTCTGCGGACAGACGACGCACACGATCAGGCACAGTTCCTGCAGTTCCCACTCACAAAAGAGAGATTCTTGCATTCTTACTCAATTTTCCACCTTCCCCAATTCATTTCATATTCATTCCAGCACAAAGCCGAAACACAATACACCAGACCACCATCTCCGCCCAGCAGCATCTCTGTTAGTTTGTTTCATGCGTCAAAATCAGGAAGTATTCTGAAAAACTGGCCCTATTAATTTAGGCACCAAAAATGATTATTAAGAAGTTGAGTTAGTGTCGGTTGCGGAATGCTGACGCCTTTAATTTCTTCAAATAGAGCGAAATAAACCAAAACAACAACCAATGAAAAGGCTCAATTCCACTTTAAAAGGTAAAGTTAGCCCCTCCCCCAATACTCCATGGTCACTGTTTGGTTGCACCACTAGGACAGAGTTGATATCGGTGATCTTTCAACGACCCTATGGATGCCGATTGAAAAGTGATACAGAGCCCTCATTCGGCGGACCTATTACATCAGCGCGCTGGGTGGTCCAAAACACTGCCGAACTCTGACAACTGTCGGACGGCATGTATATAACGTAATTTTACATTTTAAACATTGTTTTTTTTTGTTTTGTTTGTTTGTTTGTTTGTTATTGTTATTTTTAAAAACTAGCTTGTAGCCACAAAATCACAATAATCAAAATTGGTCACGACATGGTGGGCACTGAAACTACCCATCATGGAGTCACTTTTACAAGCCAAAACACAAATAGTGCTATTGTTGTACCAAATATACTGTACTCGTATGCAGTCAAATGGATTGCAGAGTCTAACTTCCTTCGCACATGACAATGAAAATCACTTGTCCGGAATGGACATTTGTATTACCTTTCAGTAACTTGCAAAATATTTGACTTGCATTACTTGAATTACAATACTACTCAAACAAATCTAAATACTTCAAAGACATCTCTGCTGTTTGATTGCTTCAGCGTAAAGTAATTTATCATGTAAGTACAATAAACACACTTGAACCGGACCTAAGAAACCTACTTATTTTGGGCTTGCTCTAGACTGTCTGAGGATCCAAATTCCATTCATTTTTTTTAATCCTGCATAAAGTTTCGAAATACCAACTAATAGCTACTGTTTAGTCGACCATGTTCATGACCAAAGATCGTATAGCGCCGCGCACGCGTGTTTTCAGGAGGGTAAACATTGAACTCCATTACGATGGAAATCAACAAGGGTAAATAACTAGCAATGCGAATTTTCTAGCGTGCACTTTTGACAGGAGTTTTCAAAAACTGCTTGAGGTTATTGCACTTCAGTAGTAAGGTTTTGAAGAAAAACTGAATTCTGCATCTGGAATGGATAAATTTGGAAAGAATAATGGTTGAGGTGTGCGCAGCAATTGCCGGAGATCAATGGTAAATCAAGTTTGGAAGAGGGAACAGCTTCTGACATGTGAGTCGCACTTTCAGAAAGTTTGTACATGCCTTGTACCTTATAATGCTTGGTTTTATATGGTAATAAATTTATTACAGTCTTTCTGGCCTATTTGGCCAATATATGAAACTTCACTATGTCGAAGTAAGGACCCTCTGAAATGTAACTTATTGGTAAAGGTGGTTTCAAAAACTGAATTGCACTGCACTGCACTGCACTCCACTCCACTCCACTCCAACAGGTGTGAAGTTAATTCCGGAAATGATATTCTTCATTGCTATTTTTTAATTTTTTTTGGCTTGTTTTCGGGAGGGACGTTGATGGCTTAGCCGCAGTTCCATAAGAAAAAGGTTTTCTTTCTCTATAATCAATTTTGGCCAGAAATGCACAGTACACAGCATCAATTTACCCTCCTGAAACGCAGCGCGCCGCCATTGTTCGGCCACGCATTTTGTGCACAAACAACGCGGGATGTCCTATCCAGTCATTATAATGGATAGCGATTGACCCAAACAAAGGAGCCTCTGTTGCTAAGAGAATTGCGCCCTCTCTTGGTCCAGCTCGAGGTTTATAAGGTACTCCGTTGGCTTAATTAATTAGCCAAAGTTATGAATGGGTTTAAGAATGATCCCTGTAGCGAAATTACATTGCTTTGGATAGATAAAGAATTGCCCTGCGTGTGTACAGACTATGCACAAAAATGCATCTCACTGCCAAGCTTTTAAGGTCTGGAAGAAAATACCTCCAAGTTGAAAGGGAGCAACAATATTACTCTCAATTTGCAAAGGAGGAATTTTCAACATGGTGACGGCAGATAACTTTGGTGTTAGAGATACCGAGGTATTCTTTTGGGATTGACGACAATGATTTGAGACCACGTCAGGAGGTATATATTTGCAGTAGCAAAATAAGACTTCAAATTATCATTTCCATGTAACTTGCTCTTTAATTAATCTGCATGAAACGAGAGATACATTAACGTCAGACCACCACCACTGTATTGAAGAGATACAGAGAGAAACATGCGATGCTTTAATCGTTGATGCTGCTACGGCACATTAAAGTTTAGAGTTCCACTTGAAGCCTCTGACAAGAACAGACAAATGCATGTGACTCAGCAACACTCCTTTTTTAATAGCATCGTGATTCATGAGATCGTGTGAGCCAGGTAAGTTTTATGGACATTCCTGTGTCTTGCTCCTTTTGCAATAAAATTTCAAACACCACAAGCTGCAAGGAAAAAGAACTGACGCGTATTCAATTTGAAGAGGAACGTCCGATTGGACACAACGATCACTTGCTACTGGGAATTTTTCAACTTGACTGCTTCACCGAGCTGCTACGACCTTCACCCGAGTTCAGAGACGGAGGAAAATGCTGCGATTCTTCAGCGGTCGGCGATGCATTGAAGCGTGTTTGCTATATTGATGCGTGGCCACGGCCACAACAATGGCAAGCTGCAAGACATGGACAGAAAATATTTTGACAGCATAGGCAACATCTGTATCTCAAGACTCAAAGGTGGTTAACACTGCCTTGCCGTGAGAAAACATTAAGACGATGGGAGATGTGATAAGGAAGATCTATAAATTCTGAAAGAATGCTCCCAATTACGCAAGGTTACGTTCCTTGTAGGCTTATTATGCAATGTTGGTCGAAGCAGGGAAGCAGACAAAATACGTTGATTTGTGGTAAAAAATATTGTGTACTAGAGAAGGAACAGAAAGGGGCGGGACTTAGAGAAAGGAGTACCTTCGACGTTATTTTCATTCACATCATGCATCATAATTTCATTCACTTCGTTCAAACACCAATACTGATCTTCATGTGGAGTGTGGAAACTTCCCAAGAGTGTGCAACAAGCACCCAAAAAAGTTTAGAATATTTCACCGCGGTCATGCACAGCATGACTTTCACTCCCAACATCGTATACTTCTACCGTGTTTTCCCTTTCTGCTGTGTGTAGTTTCTGAACACTTCTATTTCTGACAGCCGAGCTGTCAGACATTAAGCCATTTTTCAGATGTTGAAAAGATATTCTGAGATGTGCATATCTCACATCTGAATTGGCATAAAGCTTTTGGTGTTCGAATACAACGACAGTATATGTGAGAATTGGCATAAAGCTTTTGGTGTTCGAATACAACGACAGTATGTCACAAGGCAAAATTCAAAATTGGTTGTAATTTAGACGTTCGCTGTCCACCTTCGTTTTTACAGCAGGATGAAAACAGCCACCCCCCCGCCAAATCTGTTTGGTTGGATGACATCCCCCACACAGACCCTGTCCTTTGCATTTCCATCGCCCATTAAAACCATCCCTTTCGGCATTAAAACAAATTTATACTGTCTGTGAAAGCAATTATCAACAAAAGACCTTATGGAGTTATATAGACTGGAGAGACCCAATAACCACAACACGTCTGTCAAGCACAGCTTGTTATTGAAGAATGACTTCCAGCCCACCAATGCCGAGTCAATATCAATGGCAATGCCAATGCAGCGAAATAACAACCAGGCAATTCCATGACTCCTTGGCAAATATTTCTGCACTCTGTTTGCCGATTGAATCAAGGATGATTGCTATCATCCTTGCCGGGCTCTAAGACGGGCTTGCACACTTTTTTTTTTGAAGAAAGAAGGCCAACAGCCATAGGAGATACATTCAGCGCCTACGTATTATGCGCATGCGCACACGGAAGTGTAAATTTGTGTTCCGACTTCATCCATGGATATAGCTGAAGCAAAATCTACCTCATGCATCCTGAAGATATTAGCGGGAAGGAGCATCAAAAGTGCAAATTTCCTCACGACAGTTAGGTAACCCACTATCCCTACAACAGGCCTGAAGAATTATAATGTAAGCAACATAAAGACAAATTTTCACAACCTCCTCTTAACTACAAAGCTTTCTGCAAACATTTTCAATTTTAAATTACTCCGTGAATACAGTTTAATAGGCCTAGTGAGGGAGGAGCTGTCAA